GGTGTGTGATTATCTCCGCGCATAACACAGCACCCTCGGCACACAACACAACGCAGCGCAACAACCAACCAAAATTAAGTCTTGATTTCTTAGATAACACAAATCCAGAATAATGAATAGAACAAAAAAGCTTTAGTGGAGACCATTTCACATGTACTCACACAACAAAACATTCTACGTCAAACAAATCTGGAAAAAAAAATTACTTTTGGTTTCGTAGATAACACATATTATAAATAATCTACCAGAATAAATTTTCAATTGCATGTCTTACGTTAAATATATGAGAGGGCGTGTATTAACATGACTCGGTTAATATCCTCTTCAGTTCATCAAATTATTCACGGAGGGGAATAGACCAGACTTAATCTTAAAGTGTTAAATGAACTTAGTATTTTAAAACAGAGGTCGCGCATCCATCAGGGAAGCGGGATAAGCTCACACCCCTGTGTAGTGGAGCACGACGCCCACACCCGCCGCCCTGCACAACCGCACACGCCAGTCGCTGGCCCACACATGCAGGCTGATTTTGGGGAGGTCGATGAAACTCTCTCTCTCTCCTTGTGGTTTTCGTCAATTGGTAACGTTGATCAAGAAGTGGTTTCTAAACACTGATAATTTGCCAGGTGGCAACACTGAGACACTATGATCACTGAACATCTGTATTCTAGGCACTATGAATGCTGAACATCTGTATTCTAGGCACTATGGTTAATGAACATCTGTATTCTAGGCACTATGATCACTGAACATCTGAATTTTAGGCACTATGATCGCTGAACATCTGTATTCTTGGCACTATGGACACCGAACATCTGTATTCTAGGCACTATGATCGCTGAACACCTGTATTCTAGGCACTATGAACACCGAACATCTGTATTCTAGGCACTATGATCGCTGAACACCTGAATTCGAGGAACTATGAACACCGAACATCTGTATTCTTGGCACTATGGACACCGAACATCTGTATTCTAGGCACTATGATCGCTGAACACCTGTATTCTAGGCACAATGGACACAGAACATCTGTGTTCTAGGCACTATGATCGCTGAACACCTGTATTCTAAGTACTATGATCGCTGAACACCTGTATTCTAGGCATTACGATCACTGAACATCTGTATTCTAGGCACTATAATTGCTGAGAACCTGTATTCTAGGCACTATGATCGCTGAACACCTGGATTCTAGGCACTATGGTCACTGAACATCTGTATTCTAGGCACTATGGTCACTGAACATCTGTTTTCTAGGCAATATGATCACTGAAAATCTGTATTCTAGGCACTATGATCACTGAGCATCAGTATTCTAGGCACTATGGTCAATGAACATCTGTAATCTAGGCACTATGGTCAATGAACATCTGTAATCTAGGCATTATGATCACTGAACATCTGTAATCTAGGCACTATGGTCACTGAACATCTGTAATCTAGGCACTATGATCACTGAACATCTGTATTCTAGGCACTATGGTCAATGAACATCTGTAATCTAGGCACTATGGTCAATGAACTTCTCTAATCTAGGCACTATGATCACTGAACATCTGTATTCTAGGCACTATGATCGCTGAACATCAGTATTCTAGGCACTATGGTCAATGAACTTCTGTAATCTAGGCACTATGATCACTGAAGATCTGTATTCTAGGCACTATGAATGCTGAGCATCTGTATTCTAGGCACTAATATTGCTGTACACCTGTATTCTAGGAACTATGATCGCTGAACACCTGTATTCTAGGCACTATGAATGCTGAACATCTGTATTCTAGGCACTAATATCGCTGAACACCTGTATTCTAGGCACTATGAATGCTGAACATCTGTATTCTAGGCACTATGAATGCTGAACATCTGTATTCTAGGCACTATGATCGCTGAACACCTGTTTTCTAAGCACTATGATCACTGAACATCTGTATTCTAGGCACTATGATCGCTGAACACCTGGATTCTAGGCACTATATTCGCTGAACACCTGTTTTCTAAGCACTATGATCACTGAACATCTGCATTCTAGGCACTATGATCACTGAACATTTGTGTTCTAGGCACTATGATCACTGAACATCTGCATTCTAAGCACTATGATCACTGAACATTTGTGTTCTAGGCATTATGATCACTGAACATCTGTAATCTACGCACTATGGTCACTGAACATGTGTATTCTAGGCACTATGGTTACTGAACATCTGTATTCTAGGCACTAATATCGCTGAACACCTGTATTCTAGGCACTATGGTCACTGAACATCTGTATTCTAGACATTATGGTCACTGAACATCTGTATTCTAGGCACTATGATCACTGAACATCTGTATTCTAGGCACTATGGTCACTGAACATCTATATTCTAGGCACTATGATCACTGAACATCTGTATTCTAGGTACTATGGTCACTGAACATCGTGTTATAAGCACTATGATCACTGAACATCTGTGTTCTAAGCATTATGATCACTGAACATCTGTGTTCTAGGCACTATGATCACTGAACATCTTCATTCTAGGCACTATGATCACTGAACATCTGTATTCTAGGCACTATGATCACTGAACATCTGTATTCTAGGCACTATGGTCACTGAACATCTGTGTTCTAAGCACTATGGTCACTGAACATCTGTGTTCTAAGCACTATGATCACTGAACATCTGTATTCTAGGCATTATGATCAATGAACATCTGTGTTCTAGGCACTATGATCACTGAACATCTGTGTTCTAGGCACTATGGTCACTGAACATCTGTATTCTAAGTACTATGGTCACTGAACATCTGTGATCTAGGCACTATGATCACTGAACATCTGTGTTCTAGGCACTATGATCACTGAACATCTGTATTTTAGGTACTATGATCACTGAACATCTGTATTCTAGGCACTATGGTCACTGAACATTTGTGTTCTAGGCACTATGATCACTGAACATCTGTGTTCTAAGCACTATGATCACTGAACATCTGTGTTCTAGGCACTATGATCACTGAACACCTGGATTCTAAGCACTATGATCACTGAACATCTGCATTCTAGGCACTGTGATCACTGAACATCTGTGTTCTAGGCATAATGATCACTGAACATCTGCATTCTAAGCACTATGATCACTGAACATCTGTGTTCTAGGCACTATGATCACTGAACATCTGCCTTCTAAGCACTATGATCAATGAACATCTGCATTCTAGGCACTATAATCACTGAACACCTGGATTCTAGGCAGTATGGTCACTGAACGTCTGTATTCTAGGCATTATGATCACTGAACATCTGTGTTCTAAGCACTATGATCACTGAACATCTGTGTTCTAGGCACTATGATCACTGAATATCTGCATTCTAAGCAGTATGATTACTGAACATCTGTGTTCTAGGCACTACGATCACTGAACACCTGGATTCTAAGCACTATGATCACGGAACTTCTGCATTCTAGGCACTATGATCACTAAACACCTGGATTCTGGGCACTATGGTCACTGAACATCTGTATTCTAGGCATTATGATCACTGAACTGTATTCTAGGCACTATGGTCACTGAACATTTGTATTCTAGGCACTATGATCACTGAACATCTGTATTCTAGGCACTATGGTCACTGAACATCTGTATTCAAGGCACTATGATCGCACAACATCTGTATTTTAGGCACTATGGTCACTGAACATCTGTATTCTAAGCACTATGATCACTGAACATCTGTGTTCTAGGCACTATGATCGCTGAACATCTGTGTTCTAGGCACTATGATCACTGAACATCTGTATTCTAGGCACTATGGTCACTGAACATGTGTTCTAGGCACTAAGATCACTGAACATCTGCATTCTAGGCACTATGATCGCTGAACATCTGTATTCTAGGTACTATGATCGCTGAACATCTGTATTCTAGGCACTATGGTCACCGAACACCTGTATTTTAGGCACTATGATCGTTGAGCATCTGTATTCTAGGCACTATGATCGCTGAACATCTGTATTCTAGGCACTATGATCACTGAACACTTTTCGCGCCACTCAGTCACGGATGACGGTGACATATACGAGTATTGCCTCATTTCCTAATTCTATTTTATTAAATTAGTAGTTCATTCAAATCTGTTTTGGATTATTTTACGTATAATTTCATTTCTTATTTACTGTTTTCATTGTCTAACGAGACCCGGAAACATGCAGTTGTTCCCTTCAAGTTTGCGTAACAAGTTTCGTCATGGTCACCTGAGGAAAAACTTACAAGGTCGTTTATGATTTGCTTTACCTATTAGCTTAGTTGATGTGTCATGTGTGGTGAGGATGATAGAGGGACACTAGAGAACAGGACCACCTCGAGCGTCAGGGCTCCCTTAGTACCCGAGCTGGCAGAGTCCTGGTGCCTGTGTAAGATTCTGCCATAGGTTACCAGGAGACTATCATGGTAGTCTAGACTCTATACTTCATATCAGTTTTTTATTAATATTCTATCCATTACCTTTAAAATAACATACACCATCTTGTTCAGTACATTATATCCTAAATCCTAGTACCAAAATTTCTTATCCACAAGAAGGCAAGATGTTGTCTTTGAGTATAATTCACGAACAACTCTTTTTTTTTATGCAGCAGTGGAGCCACATTATTAAATAACTTATAAAGGGGAAAAGTTACTAGAAAGAATATCGTAAAATTATTAATACGAGGTTATAATGCTCGTCACAACAACCTTATTTCTTTTCGGTGTTTACAGTGGACTTACCTGGTGTATAAACTTAATAGTGTCAAAACTGTCAGTGTCCGCCAACCGTTCATTCTTATCACGGGGTTATAGTGTACTGCACACACAAGACGCAGCTGATACACGGTATATTGTTCACTTCTGGACTGTGATATGTGACACGACTTTCGAGAAAACTAATTGAGTGACATAACATTGGCAACATTTATGAGCACCTGAGAGACAAACATTTAAGGGTAGAAACAAGGTGAGCACACTTACCAACAGGTGCAGCTTCTCCCTCAGTCAGGCGTATCACGATCTCACTCTGTCCATTCAGGACGAACCTTGGGGGCGTGTTGGCTCCGACGGGCGGTACCAGCGACCCCACTAGCACCAGTATCATAAGCGCTGCCAACCACGCCTTCTGCAGCAGCCAGGTTTTCATGTAGTGATGTGTGGAGGCGGCGACGTAGGTGACCCGGGGGCCGCGGATGGCCGCCGGCCAGGTCGAGGGGTCGAGTATCACATGGTGAGTGTAAGAGCCTGTACTCTGCTCCTCTATTGTTTGAGTATCTTTACTTTTGATAACTTGCTCATATGGTTGTGTGTTAGCACTACAAGGTACTCTTAACGAGTTCACTTTTGCCACTAGTGGTACAGAGACCAGATTCGTTGCACTGGGTCTGTGGTACCTCACACTTCTGTGTCTGTGCACACAATGTTCACTCATAGTAGCACCTGCACTAGCCACTGTACGTGATGCTGTACAGTGGCGCCTCCTTACACATACACCAGCTCCATTTGGTAGATTTTCCACACTGCATTTCGCACGATTCACTGATGACTGACGTTGTCGCGCGCGCATCTTGGCAACTTACACCCGTTTTCTACAGTCTAAGAGAAAACGAATCTTACAAATGGGTTGTCTAATGTACAAATTAGCATGTTTGTCAGCACAGCCAGCCAGTGCACATCACGACACTGGTGAGTAATTACTGGTGTGAGCATCAAAGAGCGACGGGCAGGGAGCAAGACCGACTAATGGCACATCTCGTGATAGCCTCCGCCTAGGGGTGCCCTCACGCCCCGCGCCACACTCACACTTTCTCCCCCGCACATCAGGCACTGATGGCCATGCTGGCGGAGCTAAGCACTCACAACCTCTAATCTTGACGAGAACACTGGTGTCTTCGCCACACTGAGATAATTTGCTATCTTCACTTTAAACACCAGCTACTCCCGCCCTCACCCAAGTTGTTCTTTCCCAGCGATATCCTCAGGTCGTGACGCGCCCCACACCCAGGGTGCTGGATATGATCCCAGCAAGTCCTCTGGTTCTCAGGCCTTGACCAGGATCCTTGAGGTCGTCCCAGACAGTTCACGTGGTCGCCGGGTCAGGAAGGGAAGTGATATATCAAAAAGTAGCGTTATGGTGTCCCGCTGCTGCCCTCGGTCACTAGAGGTCTCCACGCTACAGGCGCCGCGTCACACAAACCTGCAAACGATAGATAAAAGCATTTAATCTCCCGTGTTTCACCTGCATAATGACAAAGGTATTAAGGCACATCCAATTAATAATAAGCCATTAAGGCACATACAATTAATAATAAGCCATCCTATCTTAACAATCGTCTTGATGTACAGGTAACGTCACACCGGCTGGCAATTTGACGATGACTTGTCATGACGATTATCTCCACACGACACACCATAATACAGTTACTCGTGACGTGCACCGCCATACAGCGCACAGTACAATGCTGAAACACGAGACACCGTTACGGCACGACGAGGTACAGCACATATCATGACGGAGGAAAAATTATTTAGGAAACGCCGAGTGATAAAACAGCCCTTCAGAGATCAAATACTTGAAGAATCGTGAAGCGTTACAACTTTGAGGAAGACGTGCAACAAATACACGCGGAAGAGATGACCTACACAGAAACATTAACACACACACACACACACAGTGACCCTTTAACAAATGTGTAAATAAAGGTGTGAAAAAAACTCCGTATACTCAACACAAAAGTATTTATAATCATTAATATTATTATTTTTATTGTTACTATCATTACTACCACTAATACAAACAGACACTCCTGCCCCCAAGATCAACACTATCTAATGTCTGAATTTAGTTCCACAAATTGTGTTATCATTGTATACATAAAGTTTTAACTGTGTATGTGTAATGGTATTATAACTTTCCAGACTCAGTGTAAAGTATACAAGCACACCTCATGTTTTCGCTGCTGGGGCAGCTTTCCATGTTTGTGGAAACAGTGCACCGTGAAGGAGCAAACCGGCAAGTTTTGACTCAAGCAAATATTCTACTTATTTATGAGTTGGTTTCTCGCGTGACAGTTTGTCTGGTGATGACCGAGATACACTGACAGACGACAGAAGCAAGACAACACCATCACTGTGGGACAACTTCTGGAGGAACATTTTCCGTGACCCACTCAAGAGTGAAGAATTGAAGATTTATTGCATGTAATTCCACCTGCAACAGCAGCTTTCAAAAGCGGGCTCGGTGTGATAAAGGTGAAAGCAGCTCCGTCAGTGGATATGCTAATCAGGGAGCTGTGCACTGTAATGAAAGGATCCCAGTAAGAGATTACGATGGAACAAAGGTGGCTGGAAGGTGTGGGGATATCATGTCAAAGGTCAGGTAGGCCTGAACATCACCATCAACCATACCGGGGGCTCACCCGTCGCGTATTATACTGTACACGAACTCCTAAGTTTAAAAACTATTTTTCTGTAATGATTTTGAACTCTTTTATGGTGAGTTAAACGGGTGTCAATACTTAAATATTTTCCAAGTTACCATTTTCATCAACTCTCACTGCACCGCAGAGTTTATCTGGAATGTTATTTTGGTTGTCGACGAGTGAAAATGATATTTCTATAAATGAAAGCGTGCGGTCGATGGAATATTTATTTTGTAATAGCATAGTGGCTCAGTGGCATGCTGATACAATATACTCATCACTGCCTATGCGGATACAATGTAAGCACCACTCACCTCTGTCTATACTGATACACTGTATACTCACAAGGTCCGTCTACCTTTATACTAGTGTTCACGAGTCTCAAGAGGTTCACTACCCATTGTCTTAAAGATTGTGTATACATACACAATGACACAATGCATACAAGGGAGTACATATATGCTGCTACACACACACACACACGCACGTCAGGGAATCTAGGCTACCCACATACTATATGAGGGAGTGGAGGGAGACGCACCCAGAAGAGAGAAGGTAAATGTCACTAGCAGGACAGGTAGTACGCGTCCACCTGATGATGCTCCCTCACCCCCTCCCTCCCACGCTCTCTACTCTTGCACTCTCACGCACTCCACTAGTACAGTCACGCACTCCACTCGTACAATCACGCACTCCACTCATATACTCACGCACTCTACACGTACACTCACACGCACTCGTACAGTCACACACTCTACTCGTACACTCATGCGCACACACACACAAACATGTACTCCCCCAAACACAGTCACAAACACACCAAGAAAACAAAGCGAGACATCATCAGGAAATGCTTAAAGCCAGATGATGATGATGATGATGATGATGATGATGTAACAATTATTGTGCTTTTATTTACCTTTAATTCCCTTTATTTATTTCTTCTTAGTTATTAGTTCTTTATTTTCCTCTTTATTTTCTTTCTTTCATTCTCTGTATACTTGTTAAATTCCTGTTCCCACCAGCCCAGTATAAACACCATAGTCACGTGAGACACCAAATGAAGTCATTAACACGTGAGATAAGCGCCAACCATCACTGGACCGAGAGGAGGGAGGGAGGGTGAGGCTGGGAGCCACATGGCCGGGCCAGGGTGTAGGCTTCGCGGGCACCAGGGCACTCTGGATGCCAGAAGCTGTCAGATTGATTACTACACTACATCCACAAATACCACTTTACACATGGTCATAGCTCACTGACACTAATGTGAAGTCACTAAGTATAACACCCTGTTTCACAATGAGCGAAATAATGTATAAGTTAGTTTGGCTTTAAAGCATACACTTGAACACTATATTATTAAATGTGACACTGTCAAAGACTTCAGGCCGCCTGGCTTATTGTATCATGAACTTTGTAATCACTGTATTGAATCGGGGGTGCTTGGGGACATTCTTGCTGTTTATCCCAAATTTGCTGCTGGCCCACACTGATTAGTCTGCACTTAGAATATGACGTTCAATGTATATGAACCAATGTTTTGCATGGGAGCGAACAGTGACATCACCCACATGACTCTGACCTATATATACTGCTAATGAATATGATGTATTTCTTTGTGTACGAACTCTGTCCTGCATGGCAATGAACAGTGACATTACCCACATGAATCTGACCGATATATACTGTCAATGAATATGATGTATTTCTTTGTGTACGAACCTCTGTCCTGCATGGCAGTGAACAGTGACATCACCCACATGAATCGGATCTGTGTATATATGTGTAGGTATGTGAATGTGTATGCATATGTATGTGTATGTGTATGTATATATATATATATATATATATATATATATATATATATATATATATATATATATATATATATATGTATATATGTGTATGATGTACACGGGAAAAGGAAACAACGGAGCACCTTAGCTTTCGTCTATTCAAGACATCTTCAGAGGCAACTGATTACATGGACAGAGAGGAATGTATGTATGTATGTATATATATATATATATATATATATATATATATATATATATATATATATATATATATATATATATATATATATATATACTGTTAATGAATATGATGTATTTCTTTGTGTATGAACCTCTGTCCTGCGTGGCAGTGAGAGGTCATTCCACCCTCAGTGTCAAGACCTAACTGAATTACTCAGAATAGGCAAACTGTACTCCAAGCTTTGTCAATAAATTTGTTAAACTAAAACTCTGTATACTCGTGAGATGAAGGTGAGGCGAGCGGACCGTGAGAGAGAGAGAGGGCGAGAGACTTGTTTATGACTGAGGGGAGGTGGGTGTTTGTGGTCGGGAGCCCCCTCACACACCAAGGGGAGAAGGAGAGAGGATAACTGGGGAGGAATAGGAGTAACATGCGATAACTGAGACACGAAAGAAAACAGGTGATAGGTTAGGTTATTACTAACGGGCTCACTTTATTACTGCGTACAACCAAGGCACTTATAACAAATCAACTTTTCTCAATAAGGGAGGGACTCTTAGTAACAGTTACTGCATTTATTGAACACTTTCTATTAGTTTTTGACAATAACACTTCAAAACAATAAACCCATCTTCCTAGCTAGTTAAACAGGGGTCACATGAATCACAAAACATTTCGTGAAATGGATACAACATGAAGGGTACTCACTCACACACACACACACACATATATATATATATATATATATATATATATATATATATATATATATATATATATATATACATATATATCCTGCCATTTGTGAAGGTGACCACACACGCCTATACTTCACTACGCCAAACCAGACTCCGTTTTAAAACCAGGTGCCCGCCTTGTTGGGGTATGGACTCAGCCTCCAGCCAATCAGCACAGTTAAGCCTAAGATGTCACACTCACAGGCCACTGAGTATGGCTCATGCCTCGGGCACTCCTGGTGTTATGGCGGGCAATCCTTGTCTAAGCTGAATTTCCTGTATTTCTCTAAACATGACATAATCTACTCCAAAAGGCATGACATTGTTACAATACTCCCCCTGGTCGCTTATATGAAAATTTGTGATATGTTGACAAAATTTTTCGCAAATTTCCATTCCTAATCGAAGCTAGGAATATCTCAAATTAATTACCATATAAAAATCATGGCATTGAAACAATCATGATGATAATGACGATGATGATGATGATGATGATGGTGGTGGTAATGATGGTGATTGATGATGGTGACGATGGTGGTGGTGGTGAAAATGGTGATTGATGATGATAATGGTGGTGATAACGGTCAGAAATAATGATGATGATGCGGACTGATGATGTTGGCGATGATGACAGTGATGATAAGGCGATGGTGATGATGCTTAGCGGAACGACCAAGAGAGAGAGAGAGAGAGAGAGAGTCTTCTCCGGAACTCTCAACACATAAAGGCTAAACAGTGCGAATGAATAATAATAATTATTATAATAATAATAATAATAATAATAATAATAATAATAATAATAAATAACAAAACAAATAAAACAATCATCACTGCATTACTCAGCTACTTTCTAAACCCAATAAAATAATATAATATTGTGATAAATAAGAACAAACTATTATAGTACAAAAACTATATACTTTACAGCTAATATAATCACCATTTACTTCTTGCCGGATCACTAATCTCACGTCAATAATATGTTCACCGATTATTACTCGACATTAAAGATGACGCAGAGAGAGAAACCGGATCTTGGCGACTAACTGGTAATAATATGT